AAACTTTTACTTACTACATGTACTAAATATATTTATCTTACTGACCATTCGCAGACTAATTTACATAAAGATCCCACTCACGTCTACACCGCGACTGGTCAAACAAGGGAAAGCTCTGCAAAGTACATCAAAGCTAAGGCTGTTACTTTCAACGGTTCTTGCTTAATCTATTACCAATTCGCTGTGAATTTACTGTGTTTCACTGGTGTGGCTGCAGGCGTCATTTGTCAACATAATTTAACTCATGAGGAGCGAAGCGTTTTCAACGAAAAGAAGCACATTATTTTGAGAAAAATTCAAAGAAAGTTACATTAACTAATTATTTTGTACATCCTTTCCTATGCATCCACTCCATGGTATATGAAATTCCGCTATAAAATAAAACAAAAAAGCAATATTTCACAGAGGTGGAAACAACTTCATACCTTCCGTCGTTGCATCAAGACAAGCCCAGGCCTGCACAATTCCTCGCATTCCTCGCATATTACTAAAGTTAAACATCTCACCATACTCAGCTTTCCATCGACCCCTCAAGCTATGCATGCGTGCCTCGTTATATTTCTCAGTGGTGTCAAACAGTAAACCTTTTTATTTAGTTCAATTGTGCAACTCCTTCCATCAATTCTCGTATTCTTGTATGTTACTATTTTTGCTTCCTAAGGTGATGCACAAGACTATTGTCTATGACTTCAGCTAGATAGTTGCAGAAAAGTATCACAACCTATAGCAACGACTGGTTATTTCTCCGAGAAGATGAACTAACGGTTTCAACGGCTCTACAATCTAAATCTGAGAAAGCAAAGGACAGATTCATTATTATTCAAGCAGGCCGGCGGTCAAATGATTAATATTTAGAAGTTCCTGTTTCTTGCTGCGACTAGTGAGAAGCAATCATAATGAACTGCTTCCTCTTTAAATTGAGGATGATGATGGAAATAGCACAGTAGTATCGAACACAAAGAGCTTATTTATTTGGTATCCCTACTGTCATATCAATGCTGGGACTACTTTGCTCCCGCAGACACTCTGCGACTAATTCGATCAGACTTAAAGGTTGACCGTAGAGCTTCACACTACGGATTATCGCGTAGATGAGCTCAGTTTATAAAGCTATAATGAACAACTTCTTAACACGGCCAACCTTTTCACCGACTGCGTTGACTTTTTGGGCAATTGACAATTACACAGATTACAACGTGCACAATACTTTTGATTTTCATGACCATTAGTAATCTCCATCGGAGTTTTCTTAGCTGTTAAAAGCAAAGCAACAGGCGCTGACCAAATCCGATGATATTTTATCACTCTGGACTGCTATTAATTAAACTAACAAGAGAAGACGTCTTTACTTTCCCTTACAAAAACCACTCACTTTAACAAGTTTTAAATATTCGCAAAATACAACAAACTGGATTCTTAACTTTTTCTGATATCAATTACCACTATCAGGAGTTTTTTCTTACATCAAATAAGCAGACACTGCCAAATATTGTGTACAGATGAAACTTCGAAGGACTCAAAAGCTAAACTTAAAACGACTTTTGACTAATTCTTCCACTAGCGGAGTTGCAGCAAAGTATCGCGTAACCCAGCAACGACTGGTTATTTCTCCGAGCTAGGAGAGCTTAGGAGATAAACGAACAGTTCTAACGGTTCTACAATGTAAATCTGAAAATGAGGTAAGGGACAGTCAATATTTTTCTGTTTCACAAGCAGACAGTGATATTAATAGCTTAGAATCTTTAAAAGTTCCTGTTTCTTCCTGCGACTAGTAAGCAGCCATTAAAATGAACTGCTTCATCTTTTAATGGGGATGCTGCAACTAGCACAGAAGTAAAAGAGTTTATTTATTTGCAACTAAGTTATCCCTACTAAGGAGTTTTCTGTCATTATAGTGCCGGGCCTACCTTGCTCGCTTGTTCCCGCAGACACTCAACTAACTTGATACTTGCGAGTTGACCAAAGAGCTTCACGGATTAAACAATTCGAGAAAAAGAGGATGACATTTATTAATAAAGAAGTTAAGATTACTGAAACGCTTCATTACCGGGTCCAATCAAATCGCTTGTGACGAGGAGGAAATGGTCTTTCCTTCGGCTGTAACGTATCAGGAGCCTTTTCAGTTTAAGTGCTTATGTCTTCTTCCTTCATACTATCTATGGTTTTACACTAGAGCCTTCTTTGCACATTAACCAAATTTAAAACACACATCTTACGTTGGTTATATTTTCAACTTCTCAGTTTAATATTGACACTGAATCATAGCTTAACTCTTACATAACAGGTCTTAACAGATCATTTAAAGCACAACCATTTACTTGCAATAAACAAAACGTTTGATTAATTTGTTTCCACCTGAGTTAACTCTTCTCGTTTCTGATGCAACATTACTGATCAGAAGTACTCGAAAAATGCAACCAAAGAAGCAGACACTGCTAAATATTGTATGTAGATGATAATTGGTGGTTTCGACCCTTAAATCTATAGAAGAAGAGCTGTGACAGAAAGTTTTTTTCCGCTTTAGAGCAACTTAACATAAGGACTCTACAGACACACAGCACCTTTTAAAAGGAACTCTAAATTTCGAGTGCTAAACAGTGCAGGAATTCTTAAACTTGTTAGATGTGCGGTCGCAGTGACAAGCAAAGGGAAGGCTGCCGAATCGCAAACTCATGGCAGTCACTCACTGCAAGGAGGTCCAAATAAAGTGAAGTTTAGGAAAGACTTCCAAGCTTCACTTTAAAACAACGTTTGACTACGATGTTACAGGTTTAATCTCCCCGATTTTGAAGATATATGGATGGGGAGTTTAGTTTAAAGCCAATCAAACAAAACTGAAATATGAATAGTTTTATGTGAATTGAAAAAGGAATAACATATCCACGAAAATCGCTCATTAAAATGATAAACGTCCAAGACAAAAGACTTCCTCGTTTCTGGTCAAGATGGCCATGCTGGTGGACAAGAACAAAAGGGTTTCCCTACCCTAGGAACTAAATTCTTTTTTCATGTAAATTCTGCGAAACATTTTTTATTGTTTTGTCAACCAATATGGCCGCGTTGTCACGTGGTTGTAAACCAGCAATAGGCCCCTCGGCGCTGCTAAAACAAGTTTAATTTTTCTTGTTAACACTACCTTAACACCAAGTTGTGAACTGTCTGCTTGAGGATCCGAACCTTTCCCCGAACAGGAACAGAAGCCACTTCAAAAGAATAAGACTCTATTAAACTGACAAGGTTGCCACTTGAAAATGATAAAACATAAACGACGAGACCCAAGGGGTTTCTGAGAAGTGTGCATACAATCATCTTTGGGCACATGTTTACTCAGAAATCTCTTAAAAGTGCGCGGGCTTCATTGCCAACATAAGCAATGTTTCATCCCTGGGAATTTAACTAAGAAAACATGATAGTTAAGCCATGAAGCTCGTAAAGTCAAATCGTTAGGGTGTGCCGCTGAGGTATGCTGCGTTTTTCCACTAGTACACACATTCTAATGGCTAGACGCTCTCTGATCAGGCAAATGAACTTCAGGTTGTCGCATAGACAACTTAAAGCCCCCTTAGACCTTTTGTGTTGGAATAGATCCATACGAGGAGCTCGTAAACGTACGCCCTTCTAGAGACCACTTTGAATTTGCAATCAGCCGCTATGAAGCTAATAACTTATACCAAACGTTTGTTACAGTCTCTTATACGGGCTCTCGAAGAGGCAACTAAATAAATTGCAACATTTCGTAACTGCTGCTTGTGAAATTACCACAATGACTAAATAATTTCGGCACATGATCCAGTATAGGTACGTATAACCTGCATTGGTTTCCGCGGCAAAAGGATTGGATTTAATATTCTAGCCACACCATAACCGGCGGCGCCACAAAGCACTGAATGGAATGGTCTCTCCTACATCTCATGTGGTCTACTGCAGGTTCATCATCCCATTTATAATCTTCGTTCTGCATCTAGGAGACTGATCATCAGAGCTAGGCATACGGTAATCGATCTGAATTTCTCTTTGGCTGCACTTACTCTCTGGAATTCCTTACCAATAGACATTTCAAAGGCGCAATCGTTGACGATTTTCGTGTAAAAGAAAGTTTCAAACGTCTTTTATTTGATTAACTGTAATTTTAGTTTCATTGTATTGTTTTTATTGTTAGACTACGTGCATTTTTTTATTGTTAATATACATCTTTTCTATTTCTTACATTTGTAAAGCGTGTTGATATTATGTAGCTGCGCTATAGAAGAATTTTATTATTATTATTATTATTATTATTATTATTATTATTATTATTATTATTATTAATTCCCTGTGTGGAAATGGGTGAATCATTTCGTTACTTAGGTCGCTTCTTTGACTTCGACATGTCTAACAACCAACACATGTCTGAATTGTCCTCTCTTGTACAAGACTTGATGAATGACATTGATATAAAGCCACTACATCCTAAACACAAACTTCTTCTGTACAGCCGCTATGTCCTATCTAAATTGTCCTGGCATTTCACTATAGCTAATATATCCAAAACCTGGATAACGGAACATCTCGACTCTGTAGTGAATGGCTATATTCGAAAATGGCTTTATATTCTGATATCTGGAACACTGAGCAATGTTTTCCTAGAACGCAATAAATTTGGTCTTAATATTTGTCCTCCCTCTATTAAATTTACTCAGTGCCAAACAGTTCTCCGCAATTCATTAAAAGAGTCACCAAATGATTCCTTAAAAGATCTCTGGAAATCGTCAAGCTGTCACATTAATATTCAATATGATGTGTACAAATCCGCTAAGGAAGTTCTTAAAGATTTCCGTTCTAATCAAGAGGATAAACTGCAACACCACTTGACATCTCAAGGTTTCTTCTTCTCAAATGTTATCAAGTACTCATTGTCATCTGTAAATTCTACTTGGTCAGAGGCCCAGTCTCATCTACCCAACAACATTTATAATATTACCATCCGCTACATCAACAACTCCCTCCCAACACGTAAGAATATGGCAAGATGGGGATTATCACAAAGTCCTGAATGCTCCTTTTGCCTTAATCCCGAATCACTCCTTCATGTTGTCGCTGGCTGTCAACAGTACCTTAATCGCTTTACCTGGAGACACGACTCAATCCTTAACTTCATCGCCAAGTCACTTTAACCTGTAATTAATGTTCACTCTTCACTCTATGCAGATGTTAATGGTTTTCTGAATCCCTCAATAATAACTGGTGAAAAGTATCGTCCAGATCTTCTTTCCCTAATCCAGTCCAAGTGCCTCTATGTATGAATGACATTGGCATTGACAAAAAGCAGCAACGTTTTATAAGCAAGAAAATGATAAATATAGCCATTAGAGCAACATATTACATCTTTTGTTGTAGAAATAGGAGCTGGGATAGCCCAGACTTAATGCAATTTTGATATTTTTCTTGTTTTTGGCTTTTGTTTTGTTTTGTTTTTGTTTTTGCAAAAAAAAAAAGAAAAATTATTAGGTTAGAGTTCGTCGTAAACATTTAACGGATATGCATCCTAGATTTACAATTGTACATCCAAAAACACAAATAAAGTTTCCATTATTGATTATACCAATAAATCAAGTGACTCCTATCTTTCATGGTTTATACTTTTCAAGGGACGACGGTTTTTCAATCGAGTCTTGACAATTTACCCTTCCAAGACATCTATCCTATTATTTTATAGCAGTAAAACAAACAAGTAAACCTTGCGTGCAACGTTAAAAAGTTTTCATGTCAAAAGCCAGCAGCATTTTGAGTAACTTTACTCCTTTGATCGCCGCCTTATGGATCATTACTCCGCTTTGAAAGAACAGGAAATAATTAGGAACCCACAAAATTGCGTATTTAGGAGACAATATAAGTAATTTATACGTAGTTAATGTTTTGATACAATCTCGCTCGTTCTGCTATAAATATAAATTCACTAAGGTTGCTATTAAAGTTAAGCTGGTCTAGTTTGCGCGTCGTGCTTTAGTAGCCTGAGCAATTTTCCGCTGGTTTCTATATTGGGGACAAACATTTGAGTAATTTCGCCGCTGTTTTGTTACTTGGTCTTCTTTTCCGCAATAACCTTGGCGTAAGCAACCAAGTTCTCCTTACCAAAGAATTGCTTGTCATACCAGTGTCGGGTCTAACTTGCCCCGCTTGTTTCCTCAGACATTCCACCAACTCGAACCTTGCAAGGTGACAGAGCTGTGTTTTTAATACATGAAGAAAATAGGATGAATTTTTGACAAAGAATTAATGAGCCTTTATTACTGGGTCCAGTCAAGTCGCTTGAAGGAGGAGAATAAAGAATTTAACTTTATCTTGTTGTGACGTATGAGGAGCCTTTCCAGTTCAAGTGCGAAAGTCTACTACGCTGATATATTATTTATTTTACAACCTGTCAAACACCTAGAGCTTTATTTGTGTGCTAAAGTAATTTCAAAACGTAATAACTTTCTTGCATTAAAGGTCTACAGATCATTCAAAGCACAACGATACGCTTTCACTGAGTAAACAACTAGCACTAGCACTAGCTCTTCCAGAGTTCAGTTCTAATGCATTACACAGTTTGGATGCTCGGTGTTAGCAAGCACAAGACGTCGCGAGCGTTTTCGAGTAATAATGTACTCAACGAAAGCATCAGTGTTTTATTAAATTAACTGAAAACAAAATCATTCCAATTATTTAATGTTGAAGATAGGATGGCGAACTCGCCAAGACACAAAACCTAGGTTCAGACCGTAGCGGAATGGTAGAACGCAGTCAAATAGAGGTATCTTGCAGGCTCATGTACTTGTTGTTGGTAAACGGGGCCTTGTTATATTTAAACACATTAGCAGCAACAGCATATTCGACGACATAGTAAGAGTCGATGTAAATAGTGTCATTTATACAAAGAAAAAGGATCTCCGGAACCCCTTGAACCCTCTCCTGGCAACGTCCCTGACAACAGATCAGAACTAACGAAAATAAAAGCATAATGATATGCATTTACGACGGAAAGTCTGATTAATTTGTTCCCGCTGAGTTAACTCTTCCTGTTTTCTTTCCAACACGTAGTTTGTATAATTTTTATCCATTCTACGTTAGTTTAGTACGGTAACGGATAAACCAACCCTTTGGTGCATTTTTAAAGTTTCCCATTTTCTAAAACAAGCCTTTTGCCCGATAGACTGATAAAGCATTATTGATAATGAATAATAAAACTTTCCGCCTATTCAAGTGCAATAATAATAGGTAATCAGTTTATGGTTCTCTATGAACACATTACATTCACAAGAAACTTTGTTTCAAGGAAGTTATTACTTCGTTTTCTCTCGTGACTTTGTTAAAACGATCACTTCCCTTTTTGGCAAAGCATCGTTTCTGGAAACACCGGAGGCTGTAACATGATGTTTCATATCCAGTGATTTCAAGTGACAGTGCAGATCCAGACCTTTTGCTCCTTCTAACGCATCACTAATGAATATAACTGAAATACGCATGCACCGAGGAAACAACTTCCGGTTTCCAAAGAACTCTGTTTGACCTGTATTTAAGTATTTATTTAGTTTCATTGTCTTGTTTTTATTATTAGACTACTTTAATTTTTTTATTGTTAATATATATCTTTTCTATTTCTTACATTTGTAATGCGTGTCGATATTATGTAGCTGCGCTATAGAAGAATTTTATTATTATAATTATTATTATTATTGATTATACCAAAAAATCAAGTGACTCCTGTCTTCCATGTTTATACTTTTCAAGGGACGACGGTTTTTCAATCGAGTCTTGACAATTTACCCTTCCAAGACATCTATCCTATTATTTTATAGCAGTAATGCAAACAAGTAAACCTTGCGTGCAAAGTTAAAAAGTTTTCATGTCAAAAGCCAGCAGCATTTTGAGTAACTTTACTCCTTTGATCGCCGCCTTACGGATCATTACTCCGCTTTGAAAGAACAGGAAATAATTAGGAACCCACAAAATTGCGTATTTAGGAGACAATATAAATAATTTATACGTAGTTAATGTTTTGATACAATCTCGCTCGATCTGCTATCATAAATTCACTAAGGTTGCTATTAAAGAGTTAAGCTGGTCTAGTTTGCGTGTCGTGCTTTAGTAGCCTGAGCAATTTTCGCTGGTTTCTATATTGGGAAACAAACAGTTGAGTTATTTCGCTGCTCTTTTGTTAGTTGGTCTTCTTTTCCGTAATAACCTTGCCGTAAGTGAGTGGTTACAATGCCGAATAACGTTCATCATTCCAAGTTTCAGTTATAACCCTGGCTGAGGGCTCATAGAAAAAGGCTTACAGTGTTTAATTGTTTAAAAAAGGAAGAGAAAACGTGACTATTATGGCGTAAGGCGGATATTTCGTCGAGCGACAAGGTCTGTAGCGTTTATGCCTTTTAACGGTCCTCGACAGAGCTGAATAAGGTCTGCGCATGTGCAAAGACTGGAGAGGCCTGGGGGCAAAACTAGTATCGTTTGCAAAAACACTTTCAAAACGTCCTCACATTTTGCCGATTTTTAAGGTGGTTTCCGAATATTTAAGGTTCTCATTCAAACTAAAAGTAGATTATTTCATACTTTATTTAATTCTCGTTTCTAGCGGTTTTGTAAATTTTTCTTCTTTTTTTGCTATAAACAAAAGCATTAAAGAAACAAATGATATTTCCCTTTATTTTTCCCTGAATGATCGACTTTAGCTATTTCTCTCGCTTCGTCTCGCTCGGTTTCTCTATAAGAACTGTAAGAGAACACACAGACACAAAAGATAACTGACGTTTCTCTTCTTTTTCTTCCAAACCTACTTTCCTATATGGGGAAGCAACCTTTATCAAGGTGCTAGATTACCTATAGCTAGGCCACCAAAAATTGCTTGCAGAATCTAAATCAAAATAGTTTAATTCAGGCTTGTCTGGTGCATGATGCATATGGAAAAAACCCCTTTACTCCCTGAACAAGAGAAAGACTAACCTGCCCTTTTTGACTGCCACCGACTCATTGGTGAAATTGAAGTGTCTCAATCCATCTTAATATTTTACACCATCAAAGTAATTCAAGCTTGCTGTAATTCTCAAGCTAGCTTCATATCAACTATCTTTTGATTATAACGAATTCAAGTCCTGAAAATAAGGCAAATATTGGACAATTGCATCTGCCAGTGATCAACGGCTAAGTCCTTTTTCAAGGGTTTTAATAGTATGACGATGTAGTGGGGCACTTTTGTTCTGGAGTTCCTGAATCCTCTTCTTCCACCAGCCAAATGATAATGTCTCCAAAAGTTAAACCTTTTTCATGTTTGTTAACTGTTACCTTAGCTGTACTGTTGCCTAACTGATCAAGAATTTGTACACAGTTTACAAGAGTGAAAAATAATCATTAAACCCGGCAATATAAGGAGGTCTTACCCAAAAAATCAAATCTTCAACCTTTACCTCAATCTAATATCATGTAAAGAGTAAATTGGTTTTGAGTGCATTTTGCACATTGGACATTAAAAGTTCAGTGGTTGTATTGTGTTTTGTTTAAGACAACCATAATAATTATTTACTTGTTTCTTTGAATATTACAAACAATTTTACAAATATACGTCTCCCCTTGACAAAGAGAGAAATTCTTTATCTCCAATTATGAACTGTCTTCAAGGCTGTCACTTAAACTGTAGGGTAGCAATTTTACTATCACGTGATGGCAAGAGAAGGAGGGCTATTAGATGAGGTAAATGACCCTTTATTAAAGTTGAGTCAAACAAGTGAAGAGGGTGCAATACAGAGTCGTATCAGATGTCCAAATTCTCTTCACTCTCTAATAAATTTAAGTCAGCCGTTATAGATTATGAACCTATGAAAGCTCGACCCAGTCAAGAGCTCAGCTCACTTGAGCTATTTCATTGCATTTACCAGTATACGACAAAAGTAAAAAAAAAAATTAATGTTGAAAAGAGAAAAATAGGTAAGTAATACAATCGATGCCTGCTGAGATATGACTTGAAGTTCATCAAAGCTTCATTCACAAGGAGAAGCACAATCTCAGTCACTCTTTGTAAACTATCATTTATTTTTTCTTTGAAGTCTAGATACTTATTCCTTGATTCTTTTGTTTCAGTCAAACCTGTTATAAATGGTAGACTTAAAGTTAATACGAAAAATCACATGGAGATCAGACAACTTGTGATTGTTTCTCAAAACTTCGAAGGGAGCTTCAAACTTGATCTTAAAAAGTTTATTGATTCTAGTTAAAGGTGCAAAAAATTATAAATAAATGAAAAAGCTTAATTAAATAAATATATTTTTCCGTTCAGCCGGCACCCCTTTCTTCTAGGACGAGCTAGTACACAAACAAAATTAAAGTACTAAAGCTATATGTAAGATTTTTAAAGGCTTAATTCTCCGACCGCAATAATATTTTAATTTTCAAACCTTTTACGACTTTAGTTTCCTTAAGTTTATCATAAGGCTCATGACGATTTTATGGACTATGACGTGACCAAGAAAACTCTATCTTATGTCACCATTATTTAAAAAATCTAATTTGTAAAATTAGCCATATAAGGAGATAATACACCGTACAAGCGCGTGTACTCGGGTCCTTCAAACCTTTAGACCGAGAGTTGATCGGTCAGTAAAAGTAAATTTATCAACCTTGTCGCAAATTAATTTTTCGATTTGCCCTCAGTAAAATATATTTAGAAGTTGATTATTACTACTAGAGAAGAGTTGTTGCATAACAAGTTCTATATTCACGCTATATACGTTTATAATCCAGTTTTATGCAAACTTTTATCATTGCGCACTTCTCATCGCACAGTTTATTACGCTCATTTCCGAGGTGTCTTTTCCTTAAAAGGATACAATGAGCTCGCCCTAATTTGTAGTAAATAATAATGTCGAAGGAAACCCACAGTTTAGAGCAACTGGATAATTATAAATATAGAATGTTACATCACACCGGGAACATATATATACGCACCTGCAGAAGAGTTTTTATCAAGCCATAGAGTTGGAAGACAGCTAACAAGACGCAAGTTTCTGGTAAGGAGCGATGCTAAAACTTGCTTTTAAGTTTTTTTTTTGGAGTCCATACGTTTATCACATTAGGAGCGGAAAGCTCAAGTTGTTCAAATTTGTTGCTACTACTGATTATGGATTTAAAGACTTTCCACTAGGAAGTGGTATATCCATGTACACCTTTGCTCCAAAAAGTTTATTTTAAACATCTATATGCAGATTAATTTGCTTCACTCCAACTAATTTTTAACTTCTTTCCTTTCAAGGTGTCTTGAAAATTAAAGTCACGATCAACCATCAAAATGGTAAGTAGTTACAATACTTTGATAAAATTGTAAATGCCCGTTGTTAACTTTTAATTTAAAAATGCCCATCAGTCGGAATAGCAGGGTTATTTTAGTCAAAAGAGCTCGTTGTATACGAAACAGGGAACCTGACTGACATGCGCGGCCAGGCTTTTCTCGGGCATCGAACCGAAGTGATCGGGAATGATCAAAGTAATCGTTCTTTATTGAGGAAGCAGAATGTAAGAAAATTTTGCTATAATGTCCCCTAGCTTACTTGAAACTAATAAAATAGTTATCAATGTTCCAAAAATAGCTCTTTTAGACACTAACTTTGTCCTTCATTTTTGGAATTTGTGTTCAGTTTGAGAGTACATTTCAAATAAGCAATTATAAAAGCCTAATCAATTTTTGACTTTATAGCAGTTCTGATACCTTAATAATTTATTTTAGATGATTAATTTTGTTTTATGCTCTCTTAATACAGTCTATGTCAGGGGTACAAGTCGATGCCGAAATCAACGGTTTGTTTAATGATATGAAGATGAGAAGCAAACACAAGTTTGCATTATTTAACATTCAAGGAAAGAAGAAAATTGTTGCTGACGTCTGTGGGGATCCACGCAAAACTAAAACAAAAGAAGAGGATGAAGTACAGTTTAATAGAATGAAGGAGCAACTCACCAATGAGCCACGATATATTTTGTATGATTTTGGATTCATGAAGAAGGATGGCAGGCGAGTTAATAAGTTGGCATTCATCTTCTGGTGAGTAAAGCTGTTCTCTGTATTTTTAACTGGTGACCGGTCATAAAATTTTCCCCTTAGTCTCAAGACGTTTTCGGCTGGATTTTACTAGCTTGACAGAGTCAGAGTTGTAAGCGCATTTTCTTTCATTAACCTAGTAAAAATAATAAATCTCAGAGGTAAATAAAGTTAAAGGCGCAACGGAATTGGTAGCCTGTGTGACAGGCGTTTAAAAGGGGGGGGGAGGGGTGATTCCGGGCGCGCGAGAAGCGCGAAAGACGCGCGAGGGGAGTGTAGGGAACGCCTGCAAGCACGCTATGCGTCTTTTTCGTTTTTCACATCTACCGGAGTGATGGAAAAATAATGATTACCTTTATTAATGATACCTTAATCCGGTTGATGGAAGTCACAATGACATCACGCTATTTGAATAACTTGATCGATCTACTAATAACCATATGGCGAGCGAAGCCAGAATATCTAGAAACTACGATAAACTCAACCGTACCCACATACGAAGTCGACGCCGGGATTTGAACCCGGGCCAAAATGGTGGGAGGTGAGTGCTCTTACCACTGCACCACCCCTGCGCCACCCTTGCTCCCTGAATTGATGTATTACTAATCAAAGTGCATTCATCAAGAGATTATTTAATAAAAAAGGTGTTGGGTACATCTCTTTAGCTTTAGTTTGTATGATGAACTACACCCTTATTGCCTGGTTCTCATTCTACTTAAGAACTGTTTATATGAGCCGAACCAACCATGGTCTGCTTGCTGAGATCTTCCTTCGAGCGACCAAAAGATCACGGCAAACGGGGCAGCCTGCCTTCTCATATAAACACAACAGCAATTTTATACGGAAACAAAGCATGACCCGAGGCAGCCCGGTTAACTTGGCTGGTTCATCTCATCTCCCTTTTTTGTTTCAGGTGTGACGAAAACGCAAAGATTGCAGACAAAATGATTTACGCATCTTCTAAAGACACCATCAAAAAGTCCTTCACTGGTTTATCACTGGAATTCCAAGCAAACGATGGGTGCGATTTGGATTACAAAACTCTAAGCGAAGAAGTGGAAAAAAGAGCTTAGATAGCAGACATCAAAACACGACACTCAAGCTATACAACTTTTCCTTATGGATTTTGTTAATCTGCCGTATACCGTTAAGATGACAACAAATATCAATTACTGCTTCCGATTTTTTAACTGTTATCTCTGATTGTCTGAGTGAATTCAACAATGGCGGACGGCCATTTCATAGATAAAATTAATTCAAACTTTTAAATACCTAGTAATTTATCTTGTGATAGATCTGGCAGATCTGTTGTCTTGGGAACAATCATTTCACAAATGGTTACCGGTCGTTTGAATACACGTTTACTCAGTCGAGGTGTAAATAGCTTCACGTGCTTGGCTTGAAGAACAGAGAATACCCAAACTAAATGTTTTAAAACGAACAAGAGTAAACAAAACAAAACAAAAGAAGAGTCTTGTTCACGCGAAAACTATCCTTGAAGTGATCACAATTTATTGTCGTAATTCTACTACTTTAGGGTTATATCGAAACGATTTGTATCGAAACAGCTTCTATCGAAACGTATACTACAGGTTTACTGGTGTGTGTAATAACCCATGCTGGTATTATTCCTCAGTATAAAACCAATAGAAAGCTAGGGTTAGTTTCTGCTGTTTACTCAAGTCAAACCTTCGCGCAGGAGCATTTCCTGAACAGCAGCTGGTAAATAATCCTACACTGTGCTTTATATAAGAAATAATTGAAAACAAATAAGGTTTTTCAGGAGAAAGGTTTTATGTAACTTTACTAGAATAACAAACATTAGATTGTTCAGAAATTAAAGAAATATTAAAACACACATGGTGTCAGGCATTTCAATATTATTTTCATTGACACTAACTTTGTTACTTATTTTTTAAAGATTATACTATACTTCACAAGTGGTCTAAAGACATAAACCAGTTTCATCAACTTTACTGGAGATCTCTTTAGGATTTAGATTGTAAATACCAACAGAAGTTGAAGATAATAAGTGTCTGTATCAACTTAAGCCCTTTAGGGTACAAAGTCGTGTTTAACACCAACACACAGTAATTTTCAAGGAGTTATAATAACTCCTCTAGTGGGGCTAATTTGACTCCTTACAGTGGAGTAATTTTTGGGGAGTTATTTTAACTCCAAAAAGGAGTTTAAAGAACTCTTTTTCAGGAGTAAAAGTGACCCCAGATATTGAGGAGTTAAAATAACCCCCAAAAAGGAGTTATCCTGTACCTAAAATTTTTACTCCACTTTCAGAGTTAAATTAACTCCAAAAAGAGTAAAAACAACCCATGTAAGGAGTANTTACTAGAATAACAAACATTAGATTGTTCAGAAATTAAAGAAATATTAAAACACACATGGTGTCAGGCATTTCAATATTATTTTCATTGACACTAACTTTGTTACTTATTTTTTAAAGATTATACTATACTTCACAAGTGGTCTAAAGACATAAACCAGTTTCATCAACTTTACTGGAGATCTCTTTAGGATTTAGATTGTAAATACCAACAGAAGTTGAAGATAATAAGTGTCTGTATCAACTTAAGCCCTTTAGGGTACAAAGTCGTGTTTAACACCAACACACAGTAATTTTCAAGGAGTTATAATAACTCCTCTAGTGGGGCTAATTTGACTCCTTACAGTGGAGTAATTTTTGGGGAGTTATTTTAACTCCAAAAAGGAGTTTAAAGAACTCTTTTTCAGGAGTAAAAGTGACCCCAGATATTGAGGAGTTAAAATAACCCCCAAAAAGGAGTTATCCTGTACCTAAAATTTTTACTCCACTTTCAGAGTTAAATTAACTCCAAAAAGAGTAAAAACAACCCATGTAAGGAGTAAAAGTAACCCCAATTCGGAGTTATTTTAGCTCCAGACTGCGAGTAAGAGAACTCTTTTTCAGGAGTAAAAATGACACCAAATTCGGAGTTAAATTAGGAGTTAAAATAACCCCCAAAAAGGGGTTATCCTGTACCTAAAATTTTTACTCCATTTTTGGAGTTACAATAACTCTCTAAAAATTTCGGTGCACTCTCTGCTGTTTTCTCAAGTCAATAATTCTTTGTTAATAGAAAGCTCTGTCTGTTGCCTTTAGTTATAGAACAGCCAAGTGACAACATAAAAGTTTCTTCTGGCCGGGAACGTTTAAAATGTGTACTATCGTACAGCAACAAACATTACGTTTTTAACAAAAGCAATTCAGAACAAAAGTTACGCATCAGTCATGTTAGTATATTGTTTGTTATTAAAATTATATTCATTATTTTGATCCTTAAAGAATTCATATGGTTAGAATCGAGCTAGTAAAGGTCAAATTCTTTAACCTTCTTGAAAGATGTTAAAAGTTTTTGTTAACAAAGTTAGCCATCTCTTATTCAAAAAGACACAGTATCATATACTTGACATTGTTGGCTTATTGTAATCAATGACATGAAGGCAATAAAGAAAAGCACATTTTATTATCACTGTTAGTAAGATATCATGTTAGCTTGGTCGTTTTGTAGCTTTAAAAATTTATACGCTCATGATCAGAAGAATACCGCCCTGCTATCAGGCATGGTTTTAGCAATTAGGAAGTCGTTCACGTCGCTGACATTCGCGTGGTTGGCACTAGCCAACGACGCGAATGTTAGCAGGGTATCAGAGGAATGGCCCTTTTATTTCAATCGAATTTATGGATCTTACAGCTTTATAGAAATATAGAACAGGGTTCATTTTGTCATAACACTGCAAAAATCGCAAGCGAATATGCTGCAGAACATTACTGAAAAGGGGTACGAAAGATCTGTTAAAGAAGACATGATCACCAAAAATGTACCTGGTAAACAAATATGTGTTCCCTTTTGCCTCTCTGGCTTGGGAACAGGGTATAAAAATCACCATTTCTCTCTTGAACAGAACTGAACGGAAGCCCCGATAGTCGAATCGATCGATCGTTTATCATTGAAAGTTGAGAGGACTCGCCCCATACTTCGGATACTACAGTGCAGGATCACGCGAGCACGCTTTTGCTTTTAAAGATGTCGCGCTATAGCTACCAAGTTAAGCTTCACCTACATTCAATGCATAATTTTTTTGTGTGTTGTTCAGAAAATGCATGAAATTACTAAAAATCCAAACTTCTGGGAAATGAGAGCGTGCTTAATGAAGTGCATAAGCGTTTTGTTCTTCACAGACCACAATACAGTACGATGACGTATTACGTAACACAACAAATGTACTGAATTGTAATGAATATCGCCAAGTTTTCTGCACATACCCCTCTTACCGGAAGAAAGAGTTACCTTATCTCTGTATTTAATTTTAAAACATGCAAAACAAAGCTGAATTTTTTTATTATGTATGTCTTACAGGTGGAAAGCGACAAGGGTCTTTACTTTGCATGACGTGACATAATGCGTATCCTATTTTGGTAATGTATACAGTAGGGACAGGAGCTATCATAACATTTTTCAGAATGTTTTTGTCCAATAAAATAATTACGGGAATAAACCTGTGCGAGGCTATGGGAAATTTTTGGACAGTTCACTTAGGCCAAGGCTAAACGTCGAACTTTTCATAAGAAGAAGCAAACTCTAATTGAGTCGACCTAAATTGACTAAATTAAGTTAAGATCGTGCGAACGAATGAACTATTATAAATATACATCATCATGCAAAAGTTTAGTCTCTTGGTTTAGTCCGTCGCATGTGAAGATCGACGTTTGTCCCGAAGATGATGTTCACACGTTCAGTTCTATCCGTCTAAAGTAGACAGATAGAACGTGGTGGAAGATTCAAGCTCATTCACGAAGTTTGGTTCGTCACTTGAAAAGTTCGACGTTTAGTCTAAGCCTTACTTTGATTCTTCCAATGTCGCTAGATCTAGAGACCATTTTTGTCCTTTATAACCCTTAAATACTAGTTAGCAACTACTGACACATTTTATAAGGCAAACATTGCTAACATGACAAGGCAATCGTGAATTATATCCAATACATAGGTATTAAGATTCCTTAGGTTTATCATAAAGTTCATGACGATTTTATGGACTATGACGTGACAAAGAAAACTTTATCTATTATGTCATTATTCTATAAAAGATCGAATTTGTAAAATACGCCATAAAAGGAGATAATACACCGTATGCGCGCGTGTACTCGAGTCCTTCAAACCTTTAGACCGAAAGTTGATCGGTCAGCATACCTAAATTTTCAACATTGTCGCAAATCAATTTTTAGAATTTCCTTCAGTAAAATAAATTTAGAAGTTGATTGTTACTACCAGAGACGATATGTTGCATGACAACTTCTATATTCAGGTGACAAAACAATAACAAATCAACTGTTTATAATTCAGTGTTATGCAAATTTTTATCATTGCGTAATTCCCATCGCCCTGAGTCACGCTCCGTGTCTTTTCCTTAAAAGGATGCAATGAGCTCGCTTTAATTTCAAGTAAATGATGTCGAAGGAAACCCACAGTTTAAAGCAACTGGATAACTATAAATATAGAATGTTACATCACACCGGGAACATATATATACGCACCTGCAGAAAAAAAAGTTTATCAAGCCATAGAGTTCGAAGACAGCTACCAAGAAGCAAGTTATTGGTAAGGGGCGATGCTAAAACTTGTTTTAGTTTTCTTTGGAGTCTAAACATTTATCCCTTTAGGAGCGGAAAGCACAAATTGCTAAAATTTGTTGCTACAGTTGATTATGTATTCAAAGATTTTTTGACTTTGCAGTGCTATTCATGTACACCTTTGCTCCACAAAGTTTATTTTGAACATCTATATTCAGATTAATTTGCTTCACCCCAACTAATTTTTAACTTTTTTCCTTTCAAGGTATTTTAAAAATTAAATTCACGGTCAACCATCACAATGGTAAGTAGTTACAGTACACTCACACCCTGGGCCATAGGCTTTTTTCAGACATGTAAATGCTTAGGAATGATCACCGCAATCGTTCTTTATTGTAGGAAGCAGAATGTAGCAAATTTTGCTGTAATTTCCCCTGCTTCACTTGAAACTCATACTGTAATTATCAA